CTGCCTCTGGAGGCCTCACCTTATTGAATCGTAATGTGCACATAGCGGTACTTTTTTTCCCATGCCATTATTTACTGGACATGTTGTGTTCAGGAAAAAACATGGAAACATAATCGTTTGTGTGTTAGGTTAAGAACACAATTTACTGTTCTAACAAAAAAGATCAGTTCACATTTGATAAGGCCAAACAAAAAAGATAGTGTGTTTCCGGTAACATGAAATTTCAGCATAGGGTCGGTAGGTCGGACAAAGTTTTTGTTTTTTTTTTAATCTTTTTTTTTCCCATCAAAAATTTAAACAAAATAACCATAAAACATAAAACAAGAAGACATTGAACCCGCCGCTACCTATTTAGTTTTCTCCCCGCTCCGGACTCGGGGGGCCGGGGCGCGCCGCCGCCTCCGCCGTCCTCCTCCACCCATGGTTTTTACTCGGCCCGCGGTGTTCATCAAATAGTTCGCTGAATTTTTTCGATACATCAATGGATGCTATTTTCTTAACATTACAGTGCGAGCATTCGACTGTAACACAGAAAACGCGGTTTAAACTGTCGTCGGAGATCGCGGCCGCCGCCATGTTTCAATGTTGTTGACAGACGACAGGGCAAACGACGCACGCGCTCAACGTGAATATCGCGAGAGTTTGCACCGATGTAAATCCTCCACACAAAAATGTAGAGGGTTGTTTGAAAAAAATGCCGACCGTAAAGTTTTTTTTCGACGTAGAAATTCTCGGTCGGTCGGATTACCGAAAACACACTACTTCTTTTTCTACGCCGAAGCAATTTATACTGAAATTCAAGTAATTTCAATGGGTTTTTTGGCAATTGTAGACACTTGGGTAACTCATTCAAAGGCTGTATCAGAAAAATACAACCATGTGCGGTATGTTGATTTTACGTGAACAATGCCAACCTTTTTACCAAAGCTTCATCTTACTCTAAATGCCATCAACTGGGCTTTAACCAGCAGTGAGTGATGTGTCAAATTTGTAAGTGATGAGCAATTTGCAATGAAAAAATAGGGCAGATATGCAACTTTAAGTAATTTTTTTCATGGTCGATAAAGGTGCGAGAATGACCATAAATGAGGAAATTAAGACATCCATTGCGGGACTAAATTTACCTCGATGGATTTGGCAGTTTAGAACATCTTAAAACAAAGAGAGGGGATATTATTATATCCTGTTAAGGTCTTTAGATAATGTCCACAAGACACATCAGCCAATGGTTTATGGCAACCTGAGGTTGATGAGGCAGTTAGACATGAATGGACCACCGTACTGACAAAAGAGCTCAAGTTCTCTCAGAATGAGCCGGCAATAAAATCACTCAAGAAAAGCTGCTGGCCGGAACCTTACTTGTTTTATTATATGGGGTTGGGGGGTGGGGGGGGGCTCCTTTTGAGTACCTTAAAAGGCAGTTTAAGAGACTATGGTAACTTGTAACAAAGGGGAAAGCTGCGTTTGCCTTGGGTAAGTAGGAAGGTACGAGGGTGCTTGATCTAAGTCTCTGCTGTGCTGCACCGAGACTAATTGGCTGGTGAGTAATGGGAACAGCTGCGAGGGGGTGTGGCCACCAGTTGCTCAGTTGAAATGAGGAGTGCAATGATCATCCGCAATCAAGCTCCTCATTAGAGACATGATCTGTCAACCACGGTTGAAAGAGTCTTTCTTCTCACTTGTTTATTTCAGTGATGTCTGCAGTAAAGATTGTACAACCTTTTCTGCAATCATGTGAATAATTTTCATGGCTTGGATTTTTTTTTTTTTTTGATGATTCAAACTGCAAACCCTGATACTAAAAATGATCAAATGCGGTGGACCCCGCATACTCGCAGTTCAGCACGTGGTTCGCATTTTCGTAGACTTGGAGTGAAATTCCGAGGACTTGGAAAATTTGAATCAATCAAAATCTAGAGTATTGGTGGGTAAAATAAAATATGAAATAAAATGCATAAATGCGTGATAAGATCATCTGTACAATACATTTACATACAAGTTTCCTGCACATTGATCTGATTGCATATTTAATAGACCCAGTTTAAAAACTAAATTCAAACTACCTTGAAGACTGGAAAAATAGCATTTGTGGTCTAAGATTAAGTGTTAACCTGAAATATAAATGAAAACATCAAGAGGAAACAAGCATTTCCTTTATTTGACTTCATCAAAACCCTACTCTGTTTTGGTGCATGACTCTTTTGTCGTCTCAAGCCCTCTTTGCCAACTTTTTTACTCACATGACTCAAAGTATAGCCACAGACGCTACACTGGCCATATGTCAGAAAGTGCCTCGTGTGTACATTAGTTTCCAAATTTGAAAACCTAGAGGCCATTTTGACATGGAGGTTCCACTGTAATTACTGCCGAGTCAGTCGTATCCTGTCCTGCATTTTCAACTCACTGGACCAATCTTGCCGCCTTCTTTCCAGCATTTGTTGCCTACTTTGAATTCTACTGAGCCATATAAACACTCGCTTAAATTAACCACTTCTTTTTCTCTCACAAAAAAAAAAGGTAAAAACTCTCTTCACTCCCAAATGAATCATTTTTTTGTGTGAGAAAAACACAATACATGACAATTACATTGAATTGCAGTGTTTTTTGTTGCTCCTTTCGAACTACTTTGTGTGCGTGTGTGTGCGCACACGTGTATGTGTGTAAGAGAGGGAAAGATGAGTGTTTTGCCTGCTGTTATACTGAGCCAATTTTATGTAATCCCTCTTCTGAATGGGAGAATTGGAGGAAACAGTATTGGAGTCCGATGGCCAAAGCTGAGATCCATTCACTGACAAAAGACTGAGTTTCAAAGCACAATGAGCAACGGATTGTGACTTGAACAAATGCTGGTTCCTTTTCATGTGGGAAGTGCACAGAACAAGTTTCTGACTGGTTTGAAGAAGAAAAAAAAATCAATGCTGCCCCCATTCAGTGATTCAGGTACCACAGAAAGATGGGCGGGGGCTATGACGAATGGTTATTTGGGGCCAATTATATGCCCTTCTAACAGTGGTGAATCTCATCAGCAAGTTGACCAGTATTTGCCGATTTCGTGTACCCTAACCACTTATGTTTTGCACAGATAATGACAATCTTAAAATTACACCAAAAACTGTCAACATTTTGATTCCTTCATTATGTATGACTTAAAAATTTGTCAAGTTCAGTCCTTCACTAAATGCATTTTCACTTTTATAAGGAACTCTGGTAAGCATTGCAACTCAGGCAGAGATTTTTTTTTCCGTTTTATTATTTTTCGTAAATATATTTTATGAACAAATGGAAAAAAATAATTTGCCTTTCATTTCATGTAATTTTTCGGGAAAAACGTTTGATTGGGCTGCTTCTGTTTGTCTGACATCAGTAGGTACGCACGATTTATCGAATTGTGATTTTGTGTGTGTGAGATATGGTGGCAGCGGTGGGTTGATCCCCTAGTTTGGTGGACCCCGCAAGAGTAAAGCTCCACTGGTTACACACATGCACATAGGGCGGGGGCTCTCAAATTTGAAGATGGAATGTGAAACCATGGGTTTTCATCCTGCAAATGATAAATATTCCACGTAATTTATGTTGCATGTATCCCTAGCAAATTCCTGGATCAAATGCGAATTTGTAATTATTATGTAGGATTCAATTGCATGATTCCAGTTGGATCCAGGGCAAATTTGGATCTGGGCAAATGTTGAAACCTTGTTTTCTTATTCAGAACTCAGAGACAAGAACTATTCATCACCCAAATAGGTTATTCAGACTATGACTGAGTGAAAAGAGAATTTTGGAGATACGCTTACAAAGACTTTGGAGTGGCACAATGTCTTTCAGCCACCTTATAATCTTTTCAATGCATGTTTGTGTGAAAGAGAGAGAGAGAGAGAGCGAGAGAGAGAGAGAGAGAGAGAGAGAGAGAGAGCACAATATCTGCAGTAAGGGTATCATCATAATCACTCACTCATGCGTGTACGCTCTCATCCAAGACGTGATTTATTTTTGTGCCCTCTGTCCTCATTGGGGTGAAAAATAAATATTTTTAATGGTCCTTGCTAGGCTATTTGGATTGCATACATATTGAACATGTTTTGTGTGTGCCTGCCAGCAAACATAGGGAGTCATAACAATGATGTGTGAGAGTCACTTGAAGGTCTGGTATAAGAGCATTAACAATACCGTGTCGATGATGTGATTGGTGTACGACACACACACACACACACACACACACACACACACACACACACACACACACACACACTTTTTTTTCCCCGCATGCCCCTGGTAACAGCATACTCACTAAAACAAAGTCTGTGTCGCTTTTCAATATTAACATGCCGAGTTTTGTTGCAGTGGGTCTCCTTCGATATAACTTTGCCTAGAGCTTCCAATATCACAAGCCCACAATTTAGCCTTGAACTTTGGCAGATGAACGCGTACGTCTCCTTAATGGGGAAGCCCAGTCAGATGTTTTCCTGACAATAATATGTTGTATGTTCCCCAACAAGTCAAAACAACACATTCTGATTAATATTACTGTGAACGATGAAGGAAGCAGCAAAATCCACCGCTTAAGGACCATAGAAGTTAAGAACTTAATCAGGAATAGTTCCAAGACAAGACTTTTCACGAAACCTGATGATTCTTGTAATGTGTACAATTGTTTACAAATTATTGAATATTAGAATAACAATGTAGTGCCATGATATTGTATTGAAGTAATTAAAACTGAAATTTTAAAAAGCAAATCATTTGTCAATATTTTGTCACTCGAAACCATTCAAAAGGAATATTTTGAAAATGTAAAGAAAATATAGTGTTGTTCGGAGTCTTTCTAGTGGTGTGTATTTTTTTTTTTTTTTTGGTGTGTGTTGTTGAGATGCAAATGTCCCTGACAAAATATCTGTGTTCCCGAGACATGATGTTCGGGGCCATTTTTCAGTCTTACCTGAAGCTTAAAAATAAAAAAATAAAAAAAACCTAATCTCTTGTTTCTTCCTCTTTATTTGTAGAACCTCCTGTCTGAGAAAGTTGACCAGATGATGGAATGGTCCTCCCGTCGCTCTGTTGTACGAATGAATGGTGACAAGTTTCGTCGCTTTGTCAAAGCACCACCCAGGAACTACTCTGTCATCGTCATGTTTACGGCATTGCAGCCTCAAAGGCAGTGTTCTGTCTGTCGGTACGTACACTTACACAAAGCTCAAGCTCAGTTCCCAGGCACATGCTGCATTCCAGCAGTACTTAGAGTAGGGGCCATTCATCCATCTTCTTGTCAATAGAATGACTTGCGTCAGTCAACCCTGAAGGAGTCAGCATATTAGACATGAGATGCGTTGCCGAAGCGTAGCACAATGTTAGACGACACTTGGCTCGTTAACGACCAAAGAGGTCATGTTTTCATGAGTGTTTGGTCTGTTTCATCCTAAAGTTACAATCAGATTAGCACGGAAATGTATTTCATTTATTATTATTCATTTGCCTTCGGTCAAAAAGGTGAAAATCTTCACAAGCATCCAGATTTGAATGGATTGAAGAGAGGGCCATACACAATTGCTGTTGATTATGTGAATTCTTACAGTGGTAAATGTTTTCAGATGAGAAAAAAAATATATATATATATGTGTATATATATATCTGTGTGTGTGTGTGTGTGTGTGTGTGTGTGTGTGTGTGTGTGTATATATGTGGACATTCCCCTCACTGAAATGGATTGCCACTACTGCACTGCAGTCTAGGGGTGTGAGAAGGTACACAATAAATGATAAAAGTGTGGCCTGTAGCAGAGATTTGAACTCTACCAACCAATCACATTAAAAATATCACGGGCCAGGAGGATTGTTGAAAAAAATAAAATAAAGTGATGTGTCAGTGATTTGGACTTGATTCGACTTGAATATACTTGGATAATGAGCAAAAAAAAATATTTGCAATCTGTGTCGTGTGACAGTGCCCGCAAACAAAGGTAACACAAACAATTTGTGCTCGCATTAATAAACAACACATGCAGTCAGGCAAATACCCAGTCAGTCTCAAAACACCACGGGAAGAATAAAGTACCCGTATCCCTTACGAAAGGAAAATATATGTGCCAATATATTAACTGTAATATATTGTAATATATTGTACAATATATTATATATTGTTCATAATATATTGTTATATATTGTAATATATTGCAAAATATACAAATGATTGCCGCTTTTCATATATTGCAATATATTGCAAAATAACTTATAATATATATGCATTTATATAGTACAAAATTATGTAATTTTGCATTTATAAATAACTACAATCATATATTGCAATTTATATTGGACAATATATGAGTGATATATGAAAAGATATATGACCAATATATGATAAAATGTATTTATATATGTGTAATATTATATGGAAACATATAATTGAGTTGGTGAATTCAAAAGTTGTAGCTCTCTGAACTTCAATGTTTCGATTATATCCAACTTATATTTTTTGATGGAGTGTCTCAAAAGCTTGGAGTTACAGCAACTCAAAAGCTTTGAGTTACCGCAACTCACAATTTTGAGTTCTCCGAACTTGAACGTTTCGATTATGTTGTGATAGTAGACAACTCGAAAGTTGTATTAACTCGAAATTTTGAGTTTAGGTAACTCGAAATTTTGAGTTGCAATAATTCAAAATTCTGAGTTTAGGTAACTCGAAATTTTGAGTTGGGGTTACTCGAAATTTTGAGTTGCGGTAACTCGAAATTTTGAGTTGCAGTAACTCAAAATTCTGAGTTAAGGTAACTCAAAATTTTGAGTTGCATTAACTCGAAATTTTGAGTTGCAGTAAATCGAAATTTTGAGTTGTGGTAACTCGAAATTTTGAGTTGCAGTAACTCGAAATTTTTAGTTTTGGTAACTCAAAATTTTGAGTTGCAATAACTCAAAATTCTGAGTTTAGGTAACTCAAAATTTTGAGTTTAGTGGAGGATTGAAAATATATGGCAAAGTACATGCCAATTATGTAGACTCCCAAAATAAATTGTATTTTTGTAATACTGTTTTTGGTCATCATTGTATTTTCTTCAAAGGATACCTGTTTTATACACTTATTGTATTTATTTGGGCATGAGAACACTAGACATAGAACAATAAAAAGAAAAAAATTCATTTCAAAACATTTATGTTTACTAATGAAACTCATGTGGGGGTAGGATGAAGTCTATCCTACTATTATGAGAGATGAAAGGCCTCCGGATTTTCCCGGAATTCCAGATTTTCAAATTTTAATGAAAATTTCTCCGGACAATTGAGGAAAAATTGCCTAAAATTAATCCGGATATTAGTTGACAACATTGAACGAACACGTGTTTGAGTTTGTTGTTTTGCTTTCACGAGCGTAGCCATGTTGAGGCACGAACACTAGTAACAGTAAAGAGATTTTCGTCTCTTCATAAACACACTTGCTAAACCCCAGTGGAACGACTAAAAGACGCCGTGGACAAGACAGTTGTTGTCGTAAAAATATATTTGGACAAAAAGGGAAACAC